TTTTGAATTCCAAACTTTAACCACCTGAGTTTTTATAATTTCTCTTTTTCATATTTATAACAATTTTCTTTTTGTTAAATGTAAACTAAGAATTGAACGAAATGATAAATTCATATTTATATCAAGAAATGTTTACATAAAATTCAAATTTATTGTTACATGAATTATTTATAACTTTAAAAAGTTAAATTTAACTTAGACAAATAACAACTTAATGCATTTCTAATTACTATTATCAAATATTTATAGTATAAGTACATCCCAACTTGGTTGACACCCACTTTTATTATAATTTATAGTTTAAGTACATCTCAATTAGGTTGACACCTACTTAAATCTTAATTATAATTTAATTGTTCAAAAATTATATATTTTAATATTTGTTTTCTAATCAATTTTTAGGAATTGAAAGATTTTTGAAGTTTTCAACAACATTATCAATAATTTTATTTTGTTCTCCCCTCCTTTTTTTCAAATTAAAAAAAAAAAAAATTCACGGGCTCACGGGTCAGCGGGTTAACCGCGGCCCGTGATTGTGCAACCTGCGGGTCACACCTCCTTGACCCGTGAATCATCCGTTCGGGTCACGAGTTGGCCCGCAGTCCCGGGTCGATCCGGGCCGATTTTCAAGGGTCTGGTTGGCCCCGCCCGTCTTGACACCTCTATAAAAGGGCATACTCATCAGGAGGGCAGCTAGGACATATGGGCTTAGGCTTGGGAGCGGTTGGCAAAATGAAATAGTAAACCTCATATCCTCTCTTTTAAAAAAATAGATATTTCGAATTTGAGTTGTGCACTTCATTTTTTTTGATCGATTTGACTTATTTTTGTAGCTTGGTCTCAAAGTCTAGGAAACCAATAAACTTAGATGTCTTTAGTGTAAGTAGATATTATAATGTATATTTTTTGCAATTACTGTGTGAGTTAAGTTCTTGTTTCATTCCTATTATCTTCAAAATATATTATTTTCTTTTATTTTCAATTACACATTTTTCAGTAAAATAATATTACGCGTAAATTTGAAAATTTTCCTTATTTTTTGAGCACAAATTCTCAATCAGTTTATTATTTCAAAATGTATTATTAGCCCGAAAATGGGGCTGGCTTCCTTTTTTAATCATTTTCAATGCAATGAATAGGTAAAAAATGTAACATATCAAACTTATTCAGCCATTGGTTTTGATAGTGCCACGTCATCAAATCAAAACATTAACGTTCGGGGCCCACCTAGTATAATCACCAGTTGTAACGTACGCCACGCCACGTATGTGACACCAAAGTAACTTACGCCTCTTCGTCTCTCGTTCTGAAGAAACCTTTTACAATCACGCGCTCATTCATTCATTCATCCATTTCCATCTTTAGATTTAGAATTATTAATTATACAAACGGAAAAATCTCAAAAATTGCAATGAGTTCTCTTCACCTATTGAAATCTAGCCCATCGCATTCGCGCGCGGAATTGAGCTGTTTCTGCTCGAAATTCATTGCCAAGGCATCTGTGAAAAGGAATCTCAGGCTTCAAGACTCCAGATTCGTACTTAATAATGGGAGGTTATCGGTTACCTGTAAACTTCGAGAAACCGAAAGCCAAAGCAACGGCAAGTTGGAATATTGTTTTAATTTTTAATTTCTTTTATTTGTTAATTGTCAAATTTGTGGACGTATGAATGAAATGTGTACATTGGATTGAGTTGAGTATGAAGTGGAGAAATTAATGGAAAATTTGATTTACTGGGGCGTGGATGTTGATTCATGATGTTATCTGTTAAGAATTTTAATTTATATGCTTCCGTCATGGTTAGAGTACGATTTATACGGTAATATATTATTGAGATCCATCTCGAACTTGAGTCAGTCTATGGTAGTCTCTTATATTTTTTCTACCTGTTCTATCTTCCTAACTGAAAATGGCGAGTCTTTGTAGATTTGCTTCATATATTGACCTTGATATTTTATTGTGAGATGAATTGTAGATTGCTATATTATCAAATTTTAGCGGCGCCAGTGCTTCGTCCCTATTTCAGAGGCAATTCCAATTTGTGAAATCTTTGAAATTTAAGTTTTTCTACTCGCGATGATCTTGGTGTACCACTTTAATTGGCGTTAAAGCTAACAGACTATCCGTGGAACTTGATTATAGTATATTTGGTAATTTATGATGGTGACTGTCGAGACTCTTTATTGATCTGGTCCATGAAATGTGAGAAGAATGTTGTAATTCCATAGTTGCTCTGTGCAGACCCTCTACTATATCTGTCTAATCCAGTTATTACAAAACCAAGATTTTCCGATCAAGGCGCTTGGATATATATATATATACATTTATAACATTTCATGATTTTCTCGACTTCCAGCTGCATCTTAGTTTTAAGTTAATTGCTCGAGTGAACTCTTTGCATAATGTAAGCTCGTTTATGATCAGAGATCCATATCTAGAATAGTTCTGAGACATGTAAAATTTTGTTGTTGCTTCGAGTTAAAAAGGTCTATTCAAATTGGTCACTGATTAATGTGCCAAGTTTCCGCGTGTTATGTATTATATCAGGTGAAGAACCTCCTGAGTCTTTGTTTATGAAGGAACTAAGGAGACGAGGGATGACCCCTGCTTCGTTGCTTGAGGAGAAAAACAGGAGCATTGAAGGAGATGATGGTACGAAATTCAGGGAAGAAGATGGGGGTTGGGGTTCCTCAATAAGAAATGGAGTCATGACTGATTATGAAAGAAACCTATCTAATCAAAGGGAAACATCAATGGCACTGAATAGCGAAGGCCTTGAGGTGGGCAATCTTCCTTTTTCTTTCTATTTTATCAACTTGATAACTTCGATGATTTTCTTCAACATAAGCTATGACACTCATATTTAGTTTCATTCTCTGTCTCACTTCTTGTTTTCTCCCAGTTTTGTTAACTCTGAAGTTATTGTCGCCCTCTATTGTATGCAGTACTTCTCTATCTTCCTTCCGAGTGAACAAGGGGAAATTTTCCCCGTAAAAGAACAACATACAACCATCAAAAAGGAAGAAGAGAAGAATAAAAAAGAAATGTTTATACTTATTCTTGAGTTTAATCGTGAATTAGCAAAACTTTTGTCTGTTTTTTTATTTGTGATTCTTGAAATCTTATTACTACTCATTTGACAAATGGAGTAATAGAAGTACTGGTTTTGTTCACTTCTAAAATCATTTCCAAGCAACCTTGTGCTTAAAGTCAATGTTTGCATCTTCATATGTTTTATGATATGCTCTTGATATTTATTTGCTTTTTTTCTCTGTTTTTCCTATCTAACCAGGGTTTGATTCCACGGGCTAAACTTTTGCTTACCCTTGGAGGAACTTTCTTTCTGGGGTTTTGGCCATTGATTCTTGCAACCATTGCATTCTTTTCTGCCCTCTATATGGTGATCTCATTTACTCGATTTTTTTTTTAATGCAGTTATATCTTATTTTGTTTGTCTGAATGTCAATTCTCAAAATGAAATTCTGTGGTTTCTTAGTCTTTTTTTATTCTTGTCTGGTATGTTTATGGCTATAAGTGGGTTTATTTGAAAATAGGATTATACTTCCCAACGTAAAAGAAATGGAGAATTTTGAAGCTTAAAGCCTATTAACCACCATTTCCTTGTTTTTCCTCTGCAGTATTTTGGATCAGATTTTGTTCACGATGCAAGTAAAACTCCCATTTCTCCACCTTCGTACATTGATCCGTACTCGCTGCTTGAAGAAGAGAAGATATATAAAATGGCTCCTCGTCTACAGTGATTGGAGTAAGCACATTCATGTATGCCATTGCCAGCCTCTCCAACAAGTAATTATGTTTTGCCTTTTTCCACTTGTAAAAATCTGAAATTAAAACGATAACTTCATATTTCTTTATTTTCGATCCTAATTTACGGAAGTCAGAAAAATAACTGTCCAGGTTTAGCATCCAAATATTAGCAACTCAAAAATCATAATATTCTACAATACATAAGCAGTCGTACGCTTACAGAACTTAGTTTTTCAAATAAGGCCGGAACGAACACAGACAACAAAAACATCTTCTCACGTAAATTAAGGATGGTACATGAGATCAAACTTATGATCAATGCGTAAGAACACCTCAGCCACACTGGTCGAGTTGGAAATCATGCAGACGGCTCTCTGGACCTTTGCAAGATCACCACCAGGGACAACAGTGGGTGGCTGGTAGTTTATACCACACTTGAAACCGGTGGGGCACCAGTCCACAAACTGGATGGTCCGCTTAGTCTTGATGGTGGCAACGGCTGCATTCACGTCCTTTGGCACCACATCACCACGGTACATCAAGCAGCATGCCATGTATTTACCATGGCGAGGATCACACTTGGCCATCATTGATGTGACGGCTCAAAGGCGCTGTTGGTGATTTCAGCAACGGAGAGCTTCTCGTGGTATGCTTTCTCGGTTGAGATGACAGGAGCATAGGAGGAAAGCATAAAGTGGATTCTTGGGTAAGGAACCGAGTTGGTCTGGAATTGAGTGACATCCACATTAAGGGCACCATCAAACCTCAGTGATGCGGACAGGGACGAGATCACCTGCATCCAACAACGTTTCAGTACAAGCAAAAATCAAAATAAAGGGGAGTTATAAAATTACAAGCAAGGACCGTATATGTGTATGCAGAATCATCTGAGAAACAAGGCGATTCAGGTTGGTGTAGGTGGGTTTCTCAATGTCGAGAGAGCGCTTGCAAATGTCATAAATGGCCTCATTATCAAGAAGTACAGCCACATCAGTATGTTCAAGCAGGGAGTGGGTGGAGAGGACACTGTTGTAGGGCTCCACGACAGATGTGGAGACCTGCGGGGAAGGATAGACAGTGAAGCCAAGCTTTGACTTCTTGCCATAGTCAACTGACAGCGCTCCAGGAGCAGGGAGCCCAATCCCGAACCAGTGCCTCCACCAACAGCATTGAAGACAAGGAACCCTTGAAGGCCAGTGCAATTGTCAGCAAGCTTTCTGATACGGTCCAAACACAGCTCGACAATCTCTTTTCCAACTGCACAAAATCAAAATTTCAAAATTAAATTGTTAGAACATTAACGACTATTAGATCATAGTAATATAACCAGGAGTATGTCGAAGTCATTTACTTGTGTAGTGACCACGGGCAAAATTGTTGGCAGCATCTTCCTTGCCACCGATGAGTTGTTCAGGGTGGAATAGCTGACGGTAGGGTTCAGTCCTTACCTCATCGATGACAGTCGGCTCAAGATCCACAAAGACAGCACGTGGGACGTGCTTTCCGGAACCAGTTTCACTAAAGAAAGTGTTGAAGGCATCATCATCACCACCTCCCACAGTCATCACCTGGCATCTGGCCATCAGGCTGTACAAGAGAAAGCAAATGTTTAGTAATCCTAATTTCCAGATGGCACTGAAATCACACATAATCAAGAGAAATTCTTGTATTTGACCCAAGAAACAATCTCCAGAAAACACAGCAGAAAAGTTGGAAATTCTGGCGGCCTTGGAATCCTCATTCAATTTAAACTGGCATTATCTTAACCAGGAGACCAACTTCCAGAAATTTTATTAATGAACATAATGACATACTGAGAAATGTTAATAATTCAACTCAAAAATAACTATGTACATTTGGGGAACAAAGATGCATGTTCTGATGATAGGAATGCGAGTTAATTAAATGAGTGGCCACTAAACTTTATTCATAGTTACTACTTGCTCACTGAAAATTAAACGGTTACTCAATGCTCATTAAGATATTCATTAATTTACCCATTCATCACTATTAGATACAACGGATGGCAGATAGTGAAGGGCAGTTGAATTGGACCCAAATATTAGCTGGCTTGGCCCAATTATTTTATAATATCTTGATTATAACAGAAGATTACATATATTATATATTAGGGAAAATGATCAAGTGAAGCCCTTTTCATTTTCCACTTAAAAGAAAATGAAATTACAGGAATATCATAAAGCCCTCTGATTTAGATAAAAATAAAAATTGATGGAACTTGTGATTTAAAAGTTGTAGACTATGAAATGTGATTATAATTAAATATTAACTTTGATTTAAATTTTAATCTACTTTATGATTGAACCCTAACACGGGGCTAAATAAAAAATAAGTTCAGCAAGCTTCCAAGCAACTCTTTCAACTGTCGATAATCCCCAACATGCTCAAGAACCAAGAGCAGACAAGGGGGGGATGGTTTATAGAAAGAAGATAGGCTAATCAAAGAAAAACAATGAACAACGAGCTTTCTAGTCGAACCCACCCAACCCAACTAAGAACCAAACCTAACAAACAAACACATTTACCTCAGAATCGCCAACGCGGTCATTGGATAAAATGATATGCTACATGTACCGAATTTTTATACCGAATCTTTTACACCCCACCTCACATTAGGAGCTGGGGACCACAAGTCGGAATTTTTAAATACACATGG